TAATTCAAAACTGACTGTTCATGGAGAGAGAGTTAGTTAAAATAGGAAGTGAATACGATGCACTTCCTTTCGTATTTTATATCGAGATGAACTCTCCTCTAATTAAGAGAGAATACGGGGAATAATTTTTCGTCTGATAATTTTCCGATTAAATGACGTCAAAAAGTGAGCATGCTGTGACGATATGAAATTCACTCACGTATATCAAACACTTTGATGTCCCGGCGAATATCGCCAGCTTTTTCTTCGTGTTCCGTACCATATTGTTGATTAATATTTACAGGTTCGTTCTTAACAAATAAAAACAATACGCTCTGCCGAATTGTTTTGATATAATCACCATTTCGCTCCGACTATCATGTGCACACAACATTGCACACCACTTATTGATTTCAATTTCGGAACTTTACAATGACGTCATCAAGAACAGGGCTGCCAATACGAATGAACTAAACTGCAGTGGATAAACTAATAAGGGGGACCAAACGCCATCAAACACTGCTTAACAGATATAACAGATTATATACCTTACCTACAACTGAACATTATTCGACCGTAGGGGGCATAACCAACAAAGGCTACGATTTTTTACACGATCGGTATCTGAGATTGCCAAAATCTCACATCTATGTGTCACCGTCCGTGAAAATGAAAACACAATATTAATAATGATTGAAATCATAATCAAAAATAACATATATAACTGCATTATGCCTGATTGTACAGTATTATATATAATAAACAATAATGATTATCTATATCTAACTACGTACAGGTGATGCAAATAAAGAACCTTTCAATTTCCCAAATCCTTTTACGCGAAAGATTTATTAATTTCATATAAAAATATGAAAATCGAAGTAGGAATATCATGTTGAATATTGACGTACGATAATTCCTGAAATAAAGTTTACAAGATATAGTTAATTAAGAATTATTATGTTCGGTTTTATTTTATTTTTGATTTTATTTATTTTATTTTTGACTTGATTTGATTTTATTTTATGTATACATAGTCCGTTTCACGCATATGTATATTTGGAACTTCCTACAAGTTAATAGATCTGTAACAAATTTGTTTATAATAGATTAATGCTTCAAGAAAGTGAGAGTTGAAAGAGAAGATTAGATACAAAAATGTCACATCATTAAAAGAATTCAGTATATATAAAAACATTGCAGCTCTAATAACGAACATTCATTGCTGATTTATGCTAATAAATTTTCAAACTGCGGTGCTCGTTATATCTTCTTCTCAATGTCTAAAAAATATTCTTTTAAAACTAATGTATTTTTAGCAGTATTTTCAATAACAAACATTCTGATAATAAGGAGCGTTGAAAAAGAAGGGAAATAAATAGTAGCCAAGAGGGCTATTAATATCCACTCAATATAAATCTTTTCAATTTCGCAACACTAATTTACTGAAATCAGAGAAAATTCTTAAAATTGTGAAGAAATGCTTTGTACACTGAAATTAATAACAAGCCATTTTATTTCCCCAACGCTAATAAATATTAATTTATGCATTCATATTAAAATGTTTGCAACACTAATTATCCGAGAGAATCCAACGCAGCAATAATGAAGGCTGCTGACAATCACCTCTGTGCAGTTTTTTAGTTGCATTAAGTGATTCGGAAACGTATTTCCACAATTTCAGTGGAAGGATTTCGGGCATTTTATAAACGTAACATTGCATAGAGAAAGGCGACTATTTATTAACTAAAAAAGTAATTAAAACAATCACCAATAGGAAAGCGTCGCAATGCTAATTCTTGAAACGAAATCAATCTAAATGAATTCAATAAATGTTACCCCAATTATTCGCGACAGCGATAAATAGTATCACTATAAAGTCAATTAAAATTTAACAAATTTCTAACTCAATTCTAAAGTCAATTTTGTTAGGATCAGTGTCGAGTAAAGACCGATATCTCAAATTAACATATTACGCATTCACATATCGTGTTCTCGCTAAGTCTATCGGATATATTGTAGAAAAATGAACATAAATTCGTGCGCGAAAAATGAACATCAATACGTGCGCGAATTCCAAACATTTCCAACAGAAATAATTATTAAATATTAAATACAAAATATTAAAAAGGGCAACCACGATATTGTATAATTCGTAACACTTGAACACGATCTTGAAATACAACTTTAATGCAAACCGAAACATTTATATTCTTTTCTAATTAATAACGCGAAATCTTGATTACTTTGCAATATTACTCTAATACAACCCGTAATAAATTTTTCGAAACACTAGTAAAAAAAACCGCGATCTGCCCAACATAGTGGTAGGCTGATATCAGCCAAAAAAAAAAAAAAAAAAAAAAGAAAAATACTACTACTACATGATACTACAAATTTTAAAAGCGAGCATAGTGACAAAGTAGTAACAAGAATGACTTCCTATGCTTTAGATGGATTTCCAAAGGATGATAAGCCATTTGTTGCAGCCCTCTTCTATAGCAGTTTGCCGGGCCTCTTCTTGTCTTCGGGCGAAATGCCCGCTGAAACTTAAATCTAAGCTCGAGACTTTCTAATCGGAAAACCAAAAAAGAAAAAAATAATAATAACTTATAAAGGTGAAATAAAAAGATAAACCGCGGAAGCTGACCCAATACACATGGACGACCATCGATCATAGTGATCGTTGTCCGTTCGCACGTGCGTGCTCGAGCAACACCTACGTAAACGTTCGTTTCGGGACCTATTCGCGACCTATCCGCGACCACGAGCGCGATACTAAATTCGAAAAATCGAACAGAAAAAGCAGAAACAAGTGGCATGCTCCATTTGTACCAGTTTCACTGTCGATTTTTCAA